GAAACAAACTCTTTCCGTAAGGAACAAGAAATTGATCTAAAGTTGATTGTCTTACTCTTTTAATCAAAATTTTTCTCAAATGCGATAGCGCATTGTCGTTTTCTATTGCCACTTTGACTTCTTTCTTTCTTTGATACCATATTGATTAAATATATAAATCACAAAACTGAAAAAAAGAAGTATAGCACAAACACTCGGAAAAGCAATGCTTAACTCGCGCATGCCTAACACCAACTAAAATTTGACACAATATACCGTTACGTTCGTTATCCGAATTTTGTTCGTTATCTGAGATAAAATTTTTGCAAAATAAAAGTTCGTTAACCAATTTGGTCGTTAACCAGGACGTTCGTTAACCGGGGTTCCACTGTATATCCTCTTTGCGTGCTAAGTTCGCAAGACGCTGTTCGATAAGATGCGGCGATGCGCTATTTTGTAACGTCATTCGTAAATTGTTCGATTATATATTGTAAATGCACGGGAGTAGAAAGTCTCCCATTAGAATGTTCACCGGTATAAGACTTCACTTCCTCCAAAATGCGAGACGCATTATTCAAAAAATCAGGGTTAATGTCCAGATACGTGGACCGTCATGGCGGCACTTCCTGTTTCAGCATCGAAACCGGACCGGTTTGGAGACGACATGTCACGTGACGACGCGAGCGCCTGCGCGTGTTCTGCTAGTGCGGTCGTTTCGAATTTTCGACGTGTTGGTTGTTTTGTTTTGTGTTTTTTGGCGTTGCGTTCGACTTTTTCGCAGAGATGGAGGATTTAGACATTGTGACGTCGACGGATTTATTTCGTCGTTTGGATTCTGAATATCCCGAGTTGGGTATCGACGATAGGATACCTTCCGATATAAAATTCGCGATTAAGATTGGTTTGCAACCGGTAGAGGCGAAGTGTAACAAGTGCGACGGCGGCGTTCGTAAAATAAGTTACAGAAAAGACACCGGTTCGGTTTATTTCCGATGTTCCAAGTGCAAAGTAAATAGTTCGGCGTTCGAAGGCACCTTCAAGGGAAAATGCGGCAAGATGTCATGGCGGACAATCTTCACTTTCCTCTGGCATCTGATTGATTTGCATAGATGGCTCGTTGAATTCGTCGTGTTTGGCCGTCACGGTGAGTCGCACTACCGGTGTCGACTGGGCTAATTTCGTTCGGCACGCGATGATGGTCGCCCTTTTTAATTTGACAAGTTTGAAAATTGGCGGTCCCGGAAAGACCGTGGAAATAGACGATCGTAAGCAAGCGTAAATACGAAAGAGGAAGAAAGCTGAAAGGGACAAAGTGGGTGGTCGGCGGAATCTGCAGAGAAGACAAGAACTGTTTTTTGTGTTTTGTAAACGATCGCTCCGAAGCCAGTCTAAATTGGGTCGTTGGCAATTTCGTACGGTCCGGATCTACGATTCATACCGACCAATGGAAGGGATACAACAACATCGGAGAATTAGAAGGAATAGATATAAAACACGCGACAGTAAATCATTCCAAAAACTTTGTGAATCCGTTGGACCGCGTGCATACGCAAAACATCGAAAGGCTGTGGGGGATTTTGAAGAACAGAAAAAATCTGCCCCTTCACTATACTGAGGAACTTCGCGATTCGTATCTCTACGCTTTTATGTACAAAAGCATATGAAATGGGACAGTCTCAAGCCGGGCGAACGTTTCGCAATTTTCTGCGGACATTTAAGAAAAATGTATCCAGGAGCGGGACGCGAGCCCGAATGGAAGGAGCCAGAAACCGTTCCGGCAGCCGCGGAAGCGACGCCGAAGAAGCAAGCGGCGAGACGAGCAACAGGAAGAAGCGCGCCAGAGTCGGCGAATGACTGCGGACAAAGGTGAGTAAAAAAAAAAAAACATGTTATTTTGGTTAAAGTCCAGATACGTAGACTGTCATGGCGGCTCACCGCTGATTCCAGCAAACAAACAAAAGGAACACAGTGAAGACGCACGTTCTAACCTGACCTATTCTGATAATTTATCATAATTATTACCAATTATATTATTAGAATAGGTTAGGTTAGGTTAGAACGTGCGTCCCCACTGTTTCCTTTTGTTTGCTGGAATCAGCGGTGAGCCGCCATGACAGCCACCGACGCTGCTGCGGCGCAGCAGCCGCCGCCGTTCGCGTCGTCACGTGACACGTCGTCTCCAAAGCGGTCCGGTTTCGAGGCTAAAACAGGAAGAGCCGCCATGACAGTCCATGTATCTGGACTTTAACCAAAATAACATGTTTTTTTTTTCACGTGACGACGATGAGACTTATTAATATGGAGACTCAGGCTAGAGTCTCCATATTAATAAGAAAGAAAGAAAGAAAAAGAAAGGTAGGCTCATCGTCGTCACGTGACAACGCTCGGCTCCAAACGTCCAAGGCGTCGGGAGCGAGGCTACCAGTCGCAACAGGAAGTTCCGCCATGACGATATACGTATCTAAAATTTAACCAACTATTTTAAATTACTAAAACAAAAACAAATAAATATACTTATTAATATTAAATCAATTAATTTATAAACCTTGACTGCTTTTAAATTCGCAACTTTCGCTTTTGTCGCCAAACGCACCGCAAACACGTTATCGTTTGATAATTTACATAATTCGTTATAAATATTTAAACAGCGCCCTCTACGTTAATAACGGTCGCTCTGCGTCTCCGCTACTTCAGGAGTGCGCTACTGTTTGTAGGTATTTAGGAACGACGGTAAAAGAAAAAAAAAATGGCTGCACCCACACTATCGATAGTATTGTGATGGGCGGCCGGATGGCCAAGCGGTCAAGGTGGCAGCCTACCGCTCTAGGGGTCCCGGGTTCGATTCCGAACGGGTCGAAAAATCCCCAGGAATTTTTCGGGGGTGGTCCTTTCGGATATGTCGGGCCTCGTCCCTCACCACCAGGCAGCCCCATTGTGGGCCTGGCCGAACTCATAATGGGCTTGCAAAAAGAGGCCCTCTTAGTGTCCACGGGGCGGAAAGAGTTAAATTAAATTAAAAGAAAAAAAAGTATCGTGATGGAGGAATCTATAATTCTAAAATATAGCTTCTAAAGGCAAAAGAAGGGTCCCAATTGTAAAATTTAACCATAAAATGGATTATTTCTTGAAAGAGCAATCAAAATACCCATGAAAAAAATTAGAATGCCGGCTATCATTCGAAAAAATTTCGAAAATTCACTTACATCACCGCGTGCACTAACTTGCGCTTTCATAACTTCTAAATTTTCATCCATAAAACCACATAATGGACCCCGAAACGAAACTATCTGAGCTATGGAGGACGCCATGTTGCTTTCCACCGTAAACTACTGCTACAAGTGGCCGTTTTTGCCGTTCGACGGCGCGAACTCCGACCGGAATTTAGGATATCCGTTTTTGTTGGAATTGCGATATCCGTTTAAAAATTCCTGCGTTCCGCAGGAATTTTTAAACGGATATCGCACGCGCGGAGTTACACGGAGGAATAAAAGAACGCACTTTTATTCGAGGTTACAGGAAGCGCCGCCATCTTGGATACCTAAAGTAAATCTATCCAAATAAATAATGATAAAATTACAAAAAATACGGTTTTTATAATTAAAAACAATAATTTTGTAGATAATTTTAAATTGCGTTATTTTTATTTTTTAATTTAATAAAGTAATTGTTTTGAGTCCTAGAAAACTTTGATGATTTATTATTTTAAAAAAAAATTTAAAAAGAGGAAGAGAAAATTTTAACTAGGAGTGGCGCTGCGATCGCCATTGTCTGAAGCAACGTGCTGTAGTCGTGTGGTAGATAGGCCGATCTGTGTATTAGAAATTAAAATTTTTGATTAATAAAGCAAGATGACTCTGACACAAACGACGAACAAAATTTCCCAGGCGGGAAAGGGTGGAAATGTTAGTGTGGGATATCAAGATAAAGAAAAACCCACTCAAATAAGATCGAGCAATATTACCGCTGCTAAAGGTAAGCCTAATTGAAGATTCAATGAATCCATGACAATGGAATATACTTTAAATATTTCCTTTCCTTTACGTATTCAGACTTATACAGTTGAGATATTTATATTTGATGAAAGTTCTTTATACGTTGAAGTACTGCGTTACTTTTAAGTAGAAATGAAGAATATATATTGATAGAATTTTTGAAACAAATTATTCAATTTTCTAAATATAGACCTTTGTATGCGGTAAAAGTTTGCCATTATTATTAAAAAATTAAACCAAGTTAGTTTGTTTTTAGAAATTATTGTATTGGATCCTTAATGTTTGTGTATAATTTACATTTAACAATACAGATTTATATATTATTGGCAGCACAGACTTTATTTAGATTAAAGTTCTTCCAGATGAGAATTCATTCAAAACTTTCAGTACCAATTACTACAAGTTTTGAATGGATATCTTTTTTTCCTACTTGGTAGGTACTAAAATGAGCCTTTATTTTGCACCTGTTAAGGATTTGGCCGAACCTACCGTTAGGTGGGCGGATACCGAGGGATGAATTTTTATCGTACTTGTTTATTATTAAATAGTTTTTAGCTTTCTTGCATAAGTATTTTATTTATCTTTCGAATACAATTATGTCTCTGAATGAGATGGTTGGGACCTTACTGGAGCTGTAAATTGTATCCGTAGAGTAGCAAATCCCTCGTTCGGAGTTCGTGTCTTAATTTTTTTTTTATCACTTATGAATGTTTTTTACAAACGATCACCAATATTACTATTAGGCATTGTTGTGTGAATTATTTTTTGTGATATTCCTAGTTTTTAGTTCTAGAAAAATACTTTTTCATGCAGTTTAAATATTTTATGTAATGTTTTTATTTTTCTTTGTCATCAGAGATTTTATTGTGATATCTTATTATATATAAGGTAGTTTCAAAATATGAGGAAAAACTTGGGGAATGTATTTCTGGCAGGAGAAGGAATAAGAACCTGTTAATGTAGGTTGGAAAATGCACTGATACTGAGATAGATGATATCACTGGGCTTTACAAACCGCATACACAAGATACAACAGTATGGCATATGTACCTTGGGCATTCGGGATAGATGTTCATTGTATCCTCTGTGGGTTTTGCGATCGTTCGTGTCACATCCTGGACTGCTATATCCTATTGAATCCTGGCCTATATCTGAATGGTGTTGCATCGCTTTGACATCCACACCTTGAGATCTTTACTTTACAAAAGACTATGGTTATACACAAAGAGTTTAGCTGGAGGAAGTAGTAAGGGGGATGGAGAAGGAGAGGAGGGTGAGGCAGCAGAAAAAAGAGAAAGGAAGGATCCTTCTGAAGTGTATATGTAGGTTACCACTCCCTCTATGTTTAATGTTAGCATTTAGTTTTTAGGTTGCAAGCCGTTGCCCCCAAAGAGTCTAAACGAAAACCTGAGTTGTAGCATATACCAATATGTAGTGTAGCTACATAAAAGCTAAACAAAGAAGAGTTAATACCAAATGGCTATTAATGAAAGCTTAGAACTGTTACATTAAACCAGAAGCTAGCAATTCCTGAAAGGCAGAATAATCTAACTGGATGAAGAAAGAGAAACAGCAAGTAAACAGTTAACTTAAATCTACCTTATAACTAGGTTAAAACTAACTTATAGCTAACTTATTACTATACAAAATTATAGACAAGGACAACAAATTAGACAGACTAGAGCAGACAATTACAAAAGACCTACAGGCAAGACACCAATTTTTTTTCTGATTATATAAAAAAATTAATTATGCAACAAATATTTGGTTACTATTCGGTATTCGGCCGAATATCGAAAATGTAATCACTATTCGGCTGAATGCCAAATACCTAAAAACAGGAGTAAGAAATAACAAAAACATAGTAAATTAATCATTTTGGTAACTTTTATTAATGATTTATTAACTGAACATACATTTCAAGTTCAAGAAAGTGCAATTTTTTGCTTATTTATGTAAAAAATCAAAGGAAAAGTAATATAACTAAGTTATTTTTTTAAGAGAACAAAAAAAGGTAACAAATCAAATGAAAACTACCTACTTATTATGTAGTTTAGTCATCTATATACTCGTATATAAAAGAATGTATGCCTATGCATAAATCATAATGTGTGCACACGATACTTTCGATTCGTCACTTTTCTGTCGTAGATTTCCCATTTTACAATTACGTGACTCATAGCCTGGTGATAACAGAGAAAAGAGACGGATAGGTCGTTGGTATAAGTCACAGTTATGATTTCACAGATTCCAGACAGCTTGGTAGCCTGAACAGCCCCAGGCTTTCGCCCATGCATGCTAAGTGACTTTCATTACATGCATTTAGCTTTCTGAAGTCTGTGAGAACAGTTATTTGGCATTGACAGCCGCAAATTTAGCGCCAATAAGCTGCCTTGACTTTGATTATGTTATCAACTTAATTTCATATTTATTTTTACATTTTCACTTCGCGGTCCTTCTCTGGTCTTTTCCTGTTATTTACACATGTAGGTCATTTCATTGTTACCCACATTTGATATCATTACTTATCACATACTGCCATGATGCTTATGTCTGTCTGCTACAACTGTCAAGAATTAACATGATTGTCAAACCGTAGTGACAGCGGGCCAATAGAGCATGATTCTTGCCATAATGTGATTTGCATGTCAATTTTCATACATGCGTTAATCAAGCTGAATAGTTTGGCCGAATATTCAGTATTTGGTCTGAGGCCGAATATACTATTTGTTGCATCATTAAAAAGAATACAATAGACAACAAAAACACATTGGGAACTAGCTCAATATACATGACACTACAGATGCTCTTGGAAGTAAAATGAGAGTTAGTGTCTGGTGACCAAGCAAGACCATGCAACAGGCCTTCTTCAACCAATCCATCTGTTGGGGAAAAGGTGTCTAGATCTGGAAAACAGTACATTTCTGGACATACATTAATAGGATCATTTCTGTTGTTTGACCTGCCAAGAATCAATTCCTGAACTTTGTCCACATAGTTTTGAATCATTTTATAATGCATTGGTGATAATATTAGCAAAATATATTTATGGGTAATAAAGAGCAATAAGAATGATTGTTCTTTATTAATAAGAATGATTGTGAATTTTTTGTATTTATTACCATAATTTATTATTTTTAATCATGATAAATACAAAATAAAGTGTAGAATGATACTTGAAAATAATTTATATATAAACAACTAGCAGGTAAGCCTGGCATTGCCTGCGCAAAAAATAAAAACAAATGTTAAGGTTATTTTGTACTTCTAACCTTTCTATTATATTATATGATTTATATTTATAAAGGTTATATTACGTACAAGTTTATCACATCGCGTGCTCAATCTAACACATTTTAAAAATTCTTTAAATTGTGTACAGTAGAGGAATAAGAATTTTTAAAATTATTAGATTGGTTGCTTGGTGTGATAAACCCTTATATAAGATAACCTTTATAGTTATATAAATCAAATACTATAATATAGCAAACAGTAAAACAAAAACTATGTAAAGAGTTTGGTTATTTCAGCCTACCATTGTCACATTTATTGCGATACTTGAATGGTATGAAATGGCACAAATTCAATGGTCAAGTAGGCAGGAATTGAAAATATATCTTAAATTTTTCAGATATAATATTTTCTAATGTTAACTCTAAGAAACTATTCCATTCACAGTTGAATATCAAATGGTAATCCGTTAGTGAATCAAATTTCACAAAAAAACAGACCAAACATTCAAACTTGGCATCCTTGAAAACCACTTAAATCATATTTTGTGCTGGCCATTAACATTATATTATGTAATTTTCTTATTCAAATGCCACCATATTGCTGGTTCAGTAGAAAGGAGGAGCTGTTGCAGAAGGGAGTCAAAGTTAATTCAACCAAAAGTAGTTGTTGACTATCCTCTCTTCTGGGAGGAGGTCAATGACTACTAATTAATACTGGTCTACTATTAATATTTCAAAAGTGATCCGTGTTGGATGGGTTGTGATGGCTCCGCATGTGATCGAAGTTGCTAACATTAACGTCCAAATGACTTTGTATAACTGGTTTAAATAAAAAAAAAAATTTTTGTTTGGTTCAATGTCATGACTTGGTGAATTTAATGACACTTGGCCAAGTGTCAATAAATTCACCAAGTCGTGACATTAAACCAAACAAAGCAAGAAGAAGACACAGTTTTGACAAATAAATAAGTAAAAAAATCTTGTAAAAATGTTAGAATAATCACTTTTATGTGACGATAAATTTTTAAAGTTTTGGCAAAAGTTGTATAAACTATGTGGGAAGTGTTCTCTCATAAATATTGCATTTATGGAAAAATTATTGGGCTGCAATTTGAAAAAATTGTAGACCTATAAATTCCCACTGTTGTCACCTATCTATCTGCCCTTACTTAATTTCGAGAAAAGAGTTAGATGAACTGAGACCAGATGTGGAAAGCTTAGGGCAGGAGGCCCAGATTAACTATACTTTGATTCAAAACTTTTTCCAGAATGGAATTAGATATATGACTGACACAACTTTATTGCTAACAGGAAAAGTATGATGTACAGGGGCAACACACTACTATACACCACACAGGCGAGTACTGTGTCACCTGTCGCAGTAATGGCGCATCTATTTCACGCTATATCATTGTTGCAGTAATTGAGTGAATATAATAAATATATCTATANACCTCGGGTGGATGCTACACGTATGCCGCATCCAATTCTATCCAGGACTGGTTCTGGTCTGTTACCCGCCCTCGCCCGATTACGTGAATCACGAGTAGATTTATAACTTATCCCAACTGATAAGAATTTACTGGTATGTTTTTATGATAGTTCTGTATAGTTGACAGGAGTTAAAAAAATTCATTAAAATATTTGATATTTTTATTACGCTCTCCCATCTTATATTACTTACGGATTTCAATGTTAAACCAAATTACGATTTCTTACGTCCCATCTATAAAGGGGATGTAGAAGAAAACGTGTATAATGTTAAAAAATTAACTGTTACTTTGGCAGTGTCATTTACAACTAAATTTAATGAATGACAGAGATGCACCAGGTACAGAAAAAGCTCTAGAATTTATATTCCTTAAATTTACGATTTATGTATCCGTTTGTCATAAAAATTTGTCTTTCCACTTTTTTCCCGAGACTACAAATATTCGAGTACAAAGTAACCGGTTTCGACTTATTTCTACTTAAGAAGTAGTTAAATAATTAAGAGATTAGGGAATTGGGGACAAACAAAACCCTGACGAAAGAGCCGGAATATTACTTAAAAGCTTAACCGACCAAATTTCTAGCCGAGTACAGAGGGGACTGATTTCCTCGAAATACTGTATTAGATATATTAAAGACAGAAATTTTTCCAGTTCGACGAGAGTGACCGAAAAGTTGTAAATTTTGGAAATTTTCGTGGACAACACCTGGTCCTAAAACGAATTAGTTAGAAAACAAATGACAATTAAGTTTAACATATTTAGATTTTTACAGCTATGGTGAGAAACGTTTAAAATTTACAAGAACCCTGTCGTGTCCTTTGAGATATACTAGTGATGCGACAAAAGAGGCATTTGACATTAACCGGTATCGGCACCCTCGGGATTTGACATGCATGCACGCACCGCAAACCTACCAAGATCGTCTCTGATTCCATCCATGAGCAACTGGTAGGGAGCAATTTTAACTAAGCGGATTGTTTTAATATCTAAAAAGTAAAAAGCATTTTATGTTATTTTTATGTGCGTTTCTTCACAAAACTATATTCATACAATTGAATATTTTGTACCAGATATGTATAATTGTATATCCATCACACATTTTATTTCACCAAGTAAGTTTTTTTAATTTTATTTTTTATTTTAGCCCTTAATTAATGGCTAGCGATTTAGAATGTAATTGTGATATTGAAAATTTATTTTAAAAAAGTTTTGGCTTAAGACCGTATAACAGGGGTGGCCAACCTGCGGCTCGCGAGCCGCATGCGGCTCTTTGAATGATTATTTGTGGCTCTCGATAAATGTACCCGAGTTCCCTTTTCATTTTTGTGTTATTATATTTNTCCCGGAAGTTGATAGCTAAACCTTTTTGGCTTGTTTTGCAGATATGCCAGGCTTCGGCGTATCTGAGGTGCTTTCTGTCGCGTACTATTTGTACCAATTTAGCTTGGTCCCACTCCGCTTTGACCTCTTGTGGGTCGGCTAAGACGTACGTCGCCAGCGCTGTGCACGGCTGTTCTTTTCTTATATTTCTCTGATGCTCTAACAGCCTTTGTTTGATGGATCTTCCGGTAGCCCCGATGTAGAACATCATATTCTGCCTCCGTGTGTCTGTAACCGGGATTTTGTAGACTCCTGGAATAGTGTTCTTGTCCACAGCATCTTTGTCTGCCCTTAGCAACTGATAAATAGTGGGACTCCTTTTGTATACTATTCTTTTCTTTGTAGCAGCTCCTATTCGCCTATATACGTTGCTTAGCGAGGCCTTGTACTCCATCGTTGTGAACTCTTCTTTATTTTGTAGACTTCTCATCTTGCTACGTGTCTTACATAGGCTTTTTATAGCTTTAGTATTAATCCCGTGTCTCTTAGCTAATTTATTGATATAACCGAGCTCTTCGTTTCTGTCCTGGGTACTGCTGCAGTGCGAATAAGCTCGCGCGATGAGCGCCCGGAATGCTGCTAGCTTATACTTAGGCGGGTCGTGTGAATTCCATGGGATAAATATCGGGTTGTACGTAGGCTTTCTGTAGATTTTAGTGAGAAAATTCCCTTTGCTGTCAATTTGTATATATAAATCCAGAAAGTGTATGCATGTATTACTTTCTTGCTCTAGTTCAATTTCGAGGCCGAACTTGTTGTCGTTAACGCTCTTTATGAAATGCTGTAAGTTGGGTTTGACACTCCATAAAATAACCACGTCATCGACATACCTTGCATATAGTAGGATTTGCTTTTCGTAACTGGGCACAATGGTATTCTCTAGCGTTCTTAACACCATCTCACATAATGTACCCGCCATTGGGCTTCCCATGGCGACGCCCTTCTGTTGCGTGTACGTGACGCCTTTAAAGTTAAAAATAGAAGAAAAAGTTGATAGATGCGTTAACGACATCTAGCAACTTTTTGACGTGGACACAAACGACGAACAAAATTTCCCAGGCGGGAAAGGGTGGAAATGTTAGTGTGGGATATCAAGATAAAGAAAAACCCACTCAAATAAGATCGAGCAATATTACCGCTGCTAAAGGTAAGCCTAATTGAAGATTCAATGAATCCATGACAATGGAATATACTTTAAATATTTCCTTTCCTTTACGTATTCAGACTTATACAGTTGAGATATTTATATTTGATGAAAGTTCTTTATACGTTGAAGTACTGCGTTACTTTTAAGTAGAAATGAAGAATATATATTGATAGAATTTTTGAAACAAATTATTCAATTTTCTAAATATAGACCTTTGTATGCGGTAAAAGTTTGCCATTATTATTAAAAAATTAAACCAAGTTAGTTTGTTTTTAGAAATTATTGTATTGGATCCTTAATGTTTGTGTATAATTTACATTTAACAATACAGATCTATATATTATTGGCAGCACAGACTTTATTTAGATTAAAGTTCTTCCAGATGAGAATTCATTCAAAACTTTCAGTACCAATTACTACAAGTTTTGAATGGATATCTTTTTTTCCTACTTGGTAGGTACTAAAATGAGCCTTTATTTTGCACCTGTTAAGGATTTGGCCGAACCTACCGTTAGGTGGGCGGATACCGAGGGATGAATTTTTATCGTACTTGTTTATTATTAAATAGTTTTTAGCTTTCTTGCATAAGTATTTTATTTATCTTTCGAATACAATTATGTCTCTGAATGAGATGGTTGGGACCTTACTGGAGCTGTAAATTGTATCCGTAGAGTAGCAAATCCCTCGTTCGGAGTTCGTGTCTTAATTTTTTTTTTATCACTTATGAATGTTTTTTACAAACGATCACCAATATTACTATTAGGCATTGTTGTGTGAATTATTTTTTGTGATATTCCTAGTTTTTAGTTCTAGAAAAATACTTTTTCATGCAGTTTAAATATTTTATGTAATGTTTTTATTTTTCTTTGTCATCAGAGATTTTATTGTGATATCTTATTATATATAAGGTAGTTTCAAAATATGAGGAAAAACTTGGGGAATGTATTTCTGGCAGGAGAAGGAATAAGAACCTGTTAATGTAGGTTGGAAAATGCACTGATACTGAGATAGATGATATCACTGGGCTTTACAAACCGCATACACAAGATACAACAGTATGGCATATGTACCTTGGGCATTCGGGATAGATGTTCATTGTATCCTCTGTGGGTTTTGCGATCGTTCGTGTCACATCCTGGACTGCTATATCCTATTGAATCCTGGCCTATATCTGAATGGTGTTGCATCGCTTTGACATCCACACCTTGAGATCTTTACTTTACAAAAGACTATGGTTATACACAAAGAGTTTAGCTGGAGGAAGTAGTAAGGGGGATGGAGAAGGAGAGGAGGGTGAGGCAGCAGAAAAAAGAGAAAGGAAGGATCCTTCTGAAGTGTATATGTAGGTTACCACTCCCTCTATGTTTAATGTTAGCATTTAGTTTTTAGGTTGCAAGCCGTTGCCCCCAAAGAGTCTAAACGAAAACCTGAGTTGTAGCATATACCAATATGTAGTGTAGCTACATAAAAGCTAAACAAAGAAGAGTTAATACCAAATGGCTATTAATGAAAGCTTAGAACTGTTACATTAAACCAGAAGCTAGCAATTCCTGAAAGGCAGAATAATCTAACTGGATGAAGAAAGAGAAACAGCAAGTAAACAGTTAACTTAAATCTACCTTATAACTAGGTTAAAACTAACTTATAGCTAACTTATTACTATACAAAATTATAGACAAGGACAACAAATTAGACAGACTAGAGCAGACAATTACAAAAGACCTACAGGCAAGACACCAATTTTTTTTCTGATTATATAAAAAAATTAATTATGCAACAAATATTTGGTTACTATTCGGTATTCGGCCGAATATCGAAAATGTAATCACTATTCGGCTGAATGCCAAATACCTAAAAACAGGAGTAAGAAATAACAAAAACATAGTAAATTAATCATTTTGGTAACTTTTATTAATGATTTATTAACTGAACATACATTTCAAGTTCAAGAAAGTGCAATTTTTTGCTTATTTATGTAAAAAATCAAAGGAAAAGTAATATAACTAAGTTATTTTTTTAAGAGAACAAAAAAAGGTAACAAATCAAATGAAAACTACCTACTTATTATGTAGTTTAGTCATCTATATACTCGTATATAAAAGAATGTATGCCTATGCATAAATCATAATGTGTGCACACGATACTTTCGATTCGTCACTTTTCTGTCGTAGATTTCCCATTTTACAATTACGTGACTCATAGCCTGGTGATAACAGAGAAAAGAGACGGATAGGTCGTTGGTATAAGTCACAGTTATGATTTCACAGATTCCAGACAGCTTGGTAGCCTGAACAGCCCCAGGCTTTCGCCCATGCATGCTAAGTGACTTTCATTACATGCATTTAGCTTTCTGAAGTCTGTGAGAACAGTTATTTGGCATTGACAGCCGCAAATTTAGCGCCAATAAGCTGCCTTGACTTTGATTATGTTATCAACTTAATTTCATATTTATTTTTACATTTTCACTTCGCGGTCCTTCTCTGGTCTTTTCCTGTTATTTACACATGTAGGTCATTTCATTGTTACCCACATTTGATATCATTACTTATCACATACTGCCATGATGCTTATGTCTGTCTGCTACAACTGTCAAGAATTAACATGATTGTCAAACCGTAGTGACAGCGGGCCAATAGAGCATGATTCTTGCCATAATGTGATTTGCATGTCAATTTTCATACATGCGTTAATCAAGCTGAATAGTTTGGCCGAATATTCAGTATTTGGTCTGAGGCCGAATATACTATTTGTTGCATCATTAAAAAGAATACAATAGACAACAAAAACACATTGGGAACTAGCTCAATATACATGACACTACAGATGCTCTTGGAAGTAAAATGAGAGTTAGTGTCTGGTGACCAAGCAAGACCATGCAACAGGCCTTCTTCAACCAATCCATCTGTTGGGGAAAAGGTGTCTAGATCTGGAAAACAGTACATTTCTGGACATACATTAATAGGATCATTTCTGTTGTTTGACCTGCCAAGAATCAATTCCTGAACTTTGTCCACATAGTTTTGAATCATTTTATAATGCATTGGTGATAATATTAGCAAAATATATTTATGGGTAATAAAGAGCAATAAGAATGATTGTTCTTTATTAATAAGAATGATTGTGAATTTTTTGTATTTATTACCATAATTTATTATTTTTAATCATGATAAATACAAAATAAAGTGTAGAATGATACTTGAAAATAATTTATATATAAACAACTAGCAGGTAAGCCTGGCATTGCCTGCGCAAAAAATAAAAACAAATGTTAAGGTTATTTTGTACTTCTAACCTTTCTATTATATTATATGATTTATATTTATAAAGGTTATATTACGTACAAGTTTATCACATCGCGTGCTCAATCTAACACATTTTAAAAATTCTTTAAATTGTGTACAGTAGAGGAATAAGAATTTTTAAAATTATTAGATTGGTTGCTTGGTGTGATAAACCCTTATATAAGATAACCTTTATAGTTATGTAAATCAAATACTATAATATAGCAAACAGTAAAACAAAAACTATGTAAAGAGTTTGGTTATTTCAGCCTACCATTGTCACATTTATTGCGATACTTGAATGGTATGAAATGGCACAAATTCAATGGTCAAGTAGGCAGGAATTGAAAATATATCTTAAATTTTTCAGATATAATATTTTCTAATGTTAACTCTAAGAAACTATTCCATTCACAGTTGAATATCAAATGGTAATCCGTTAGTGAATCAAATTTCACAAAAAAACAGACCAAACATTCAAACTTGGCATCCTTGAAAACCACTTAAATCATATTTTGTGCTGGCCATTAACATTATATTATGTAATTTTCTTATTCAAATGCCACCATATTGCTGGTTCAGTAGAAAGGAGGAGCTGTTGCAGAAGGGAGTCAAAGTTAATTCAACCAAAAGTAGTTGTTGACTATCCTCTCTTCTGGGAGGAGGTCAATGACTACTAATTAATACTGGTCTACTATTAATATTTCAAAAGTGATCCGTGTTGGATGGGTTGTGATGGCTCCGCATGTGATCGAAGTTGCTAACATTAACGTCCAAATGACTTTGTATAACTGGTTTAAATAAAAAAAAAAATTTTTGTTTGGTTCAATGTCATGACTTGGTGAATTTAATGACACTTGGCCAAGTGTCAATAAATTCACCAAGTCGTGACATTAAACCAAACAAAGCAAGAAGAAGACACAGTTTTGACAAATAAATAAGTAAAAAAATCTTGTAAAAATGTTAGAATAATCACTTTTATGTGACGATAAATTTTTAAAGTTTTGGCAAAAGTTGTATAAACTATGTGGGAAGTGTTCTCTCATAAATATTGCATTTATGGAAAAATTATTGGGCTGCAATTTGAAAAAATTGTAGACCTATAAATTCCCACTGTTGTCACCTATCTATCTGCCCTTACTTAATTTCGAGAAAAGAGTTAGATGAACTGAGACCAGATGTGGAAAGCTTAGGGCAGGAGGCCCAGATTAACTATACTTTGATTCAAAACTTTTTCCAGAATGGAATTAGATATATGACTGACACAACTTTATTGCTAACAGGAAAAGTATGATGTACAGGGGCAACACACTACTATACACCACACAGGCGAGTACTGTGTCACCTGTCGCAGTAATGGCGCATCTATTTCACGCTATATCATTGTTGCAGTAATTGAGTGAATATAATAAATATATCTATATATTTTAGAATTATATATTTTTTTTGTAACAATTATATTTAGTTAATCATTTTAACTTTTTTGCCAACAGATGGTGCTACATGTAACTCAGAAAATCTAATGTAAATAAAAAATTAATTGATTTATAGAAATGCAATCAATATTTTGGGGTGGGATGTACAACATGATCTAAGTTAGAAGTATTTGAACGTATCTATTGAGATTCGTAGCAGTTGGTTGAATGGCCTAAGAGTATATAGCAGACAAACAAACAAACATCCTCATTTATATATATAGATAATGTTCAATAAATGGTATAATTGTATGTGTTCAATAGATATATGTAACTGAATATTTTGTATGAGAAATTAAATGAATACAAAATGATAAATGTTTTATTAAATTCTTGGTGTTTACTTGCATACTTGAATTAAGTTATGATGATAAAAGGAATTTTGTAATCACTATTATATGTGTGAGATAAGCAGGGAGTCAGGAGGTATTCCCTTCTGACACTTAAACCCTTGTTGTGAGAAAGAGTCATGTGTTCGTCCAGTGTTGACGGTTACGGTGTCAAGTTGACACTTATGAGTCAATTTTTCCATTGGATTGTTATGACTAAAAGTAACCTCTGCTCTAATTCTTATCAGGATTGTTTTGCTGTCAAATTTGTTTACAAATTCAAATTTCCGGCAAATGTGTAAATTTGCGTATCTCACACATATATACATAGAATTTTAATACTATATCATCAGCATAAGTATATTGTAGAATAATATTTGTATTTGATGCAATTACTTTTGTAGTTAAATTATCATAATGGTTCTATGAAAGAATATGTGGTTCAGGGTTTTACATACAGTTGAACCTGTTTATCTCAAAAACCTCTTTATCTAGAAATTTATTTTTCCTCTGCATTTTCATTCTAAATTCAATACATTTTCCATGTTTATTTCAAATAATTTTATCCCAAAACCTCTATCTCAAACTATGAACTGAATTGTAAATTACAAATTCAAAGCTTGGCAACTACATTTTGATAGCATAATTTTAGTTTTAGAAAACATCTCTTGCAATACAGTATGTAGTTGTAACTAATGCTGCTTTTCTTTGATTGGCTATGAGTTTGGTTTGTGTCTTATTGGTTGAAGAAAGTCAGATATCAGAAACTGTTGACAAACCAGTTGTTAAGGTATGTCAAAAACGTTTTATTCATACCTAATACAGGTGTGTATGTATAGTACTTGCTATTGTATTATTATAGTATCATATCATTAATCAATATAATATCATATCTGTTTACTGTGTAGGAACCTCTATATCAGTAGTTTCCAAAGTGGGTGCTACTGGCCTTCTGTGGGCATTGAATAAATCTAGGGGAACATTTTAAATATACAAGTTTTGTCAAATATTTTATATTACTAATGAGTATTTTAAAAGAAAAATTAGTACAAACAGAAGATCAAATCAACATGATCAAAACCTTACAATTTTATTGTCACATCATATAAGAAATCAACTTTGCACATTTCCACAGTGGGGCAGCCACCTTGTTGCAGTGAGAAAAGCAATTGGAACAAGTTCTGCAGATTTAACCTCAAACCAGTGAGATTGCTGCAAAGATCACTGCATGCAGCACTTCAAGAAAACAAGTTTAGCAACATTCTTGAAGGCATTGCTTAGCAGTGTTGTGAGCAGCACTTAGTTTAACAATGCATATGTGTGAAGTTCCTAGAAAAGTTTTTCTAATAATATTTCCAAGATTTTCTCACACGAGAAAATGAATTAGGGGATGTTGGGTATAAGTTTAATTAAGCAAAGGGGCAGTGGCTCAAAAAAGTTTGAGAATCACTGCTCTATATCTTGAAACCTGTCTATCACATTTTTTTTTCTCATTTCCATGAGATTTGAGATTGTTCAACTGTATAATAAGCCCAAAACCTGAATTTCTGAACAGTTAGCAGATTATGTTGGATTTTCCACACTATTTTTTTTAAAATTAAAGTAAGTTTTTATAAAAATAAACAGATATCATTATCTTATATCTATTCTAATTATTAATATTTATATATTTGTTCTGTTTTCATGGGTGGATTTGCATTTCATTTAGAATTCTACCAAATGAGATGAGCTTAGGTAGTTCAGAATTTTTTTGGTTAGCTTAGCTTGAGGTGAATTTATTCACTTTGTTTTATTTATGTGCCCACGATGTTTTATTTAAATTGTTGCTTTTACTTCTGCTTTTTCTATAATACAGTATCATCGTGGTATAACTTTTCTATACTATTCTGTTGTAATGAATACATTCAATATGTACATAAAAATAATAATGTATTTAAAAAATATCTTGAAGTACTGTATATAATGAATTTATAATATAAGTATGAACTTAATGATTTTTTTTTTAAATATTAGATTTAATATTTGGAAATGTTAGAAAACAAAATGGCAAAAAGATTATTTAATATTTGATCCTTTTTTTATTACAATTGTTTTATTCATTTTGTGTTTAACACAAGAATATGTTCATTTTAAATAACTGCTTATCAATTAATCATTATTTTGAGTAAAGTAATTTTTAAAAAAATAATTGAAAATATGTAATTTTAGTCTCAAATTTTAAATTTATATTTTAGCTGTTGCTGATGCCATCCGTACCAGTTTAGGACCAAGAGGAATGGATAAGATGGTAATGTATAATTTTTAGATTTTTTAATTAATTTATTTATTATACTTAATACTTTTTTAATAGAATATGATTGCAAAAATAGTTAACAATAAATAATGGCATTTATTAGCAATAGCTGTATTTTACTAATAACATAATCAGCCTTTATCATATAGAAATCATAGATTTTTTATCGATTGAAAGATGTTGAACTTTAAAATTCATTATTGTGTACTATATTAATTTCTAAGATTAAAATTGTATTTTAAAAATTTAATTATAGAAGAAAAAGTTTTTAATAATATCCAAAATACAAATTTAATATACAAACTATTTATTTCTCTAAATAAAGAATTCAAGGTGGATAGAATAGATGTGTTTGTACTTAATTGGGATCCAAAGCCTTTCATTAACATGCCAAAATTTTCAAATACAGTAGTACTTTGCACTTTGAATGATGCTTCAAAATTTCAATTGCATATGCAGTGAAAAAATGTGCTTGAAGCGTAAATAAAATCTGTTGTGTGCCCAAGTTCTCTTTGCCCTTGTGTTATGCTCATACATTTTCAGTTTTTTCCTTTATTTTTGAAGTATATATATCAAAAATAAACTGGAAAAATATGTAGTGTGTATTATTTGTTGATTTTTAACAATTTCTTCCTGAAGTTTTTCTTTGCTGATAGCCTTTGGGTGCATATACATTTTGTATCCTTTAGTTTAAAATTTTTTGAATGGAACTTTTCAAAACCATATTTCAGATGCTTGAAGTTTAGGATCATCTTCCCCATACACATTACAAAACAGGCTATGGGAACTGCCTCGAATGCCCTCTTGACCATGAGAGGGGTTATCTTGTCGATTCCTGGTGCTTTCTTGTTCCGAAGAGACTTGACTGCTGCCTGAACCTCTCTGAAGGTGAACATGATGTCATTATTAGATGCTGGAAGGGTCAAGATACTGTTTCCAATATCCTTGTGCCATTGGCTGTCGTCTCCGGGATCGTCTGATGGGAAGTGGACATTCAGGAGATATTTGTGGGTTTCTAATAAATCATTTGTTGTAGTGCCATCCTCCTTTTTGATGTTTACTGGAATCTTGATGGTTTTTCTTGGTTTCAGTATATATGATATGATATGGATCACTCCATGTGGTCCTGTTTCCTATTTCAGTGCAATACTTTTTCCAGGCTGTTGTACGTGCCTTGTTGATCTCAGTTTTATAGGCATTGAATTTGCTAATGTAATTCCGCTTATGTTCCTCCTTCACATTGGGGTCGCTCTCCCTTTTAAACTTTTTATATAAACGACGAACTATTCGTCTCTGGGCACTGAGAGAGTTGCTCCACCACGGTGCACTGTTTTGCCTTACCTCGGTCATGCTGGTTGATCTGTGATAGGAGGCCAAGATAGATGAGGCTAGATGTATGGCCAGTTCCTCTGCCTCTGGGATGTCCAAAAGTGTCTGATTGATAGGGGAGGCCAATATCTTTTGAACAGATCTTGAAACTGCATCCAATTAGTCTTCTTAATTTTTATGACGTTGCTTTCAATTGCTGGGTCATTGGTCGTAATAGTCGTTTTAATGTAGCGATGATCGCTAGCCCCATTTTCATCTAGGGTACTGCAGTATGAGATGGATCTATGGGCTTTGATGCTAGCCAGATACAGGTCAATCCAGCTTTCGCCCCTGGTGCTGTAGTAGGTGGGCAGTTGACTGGTGTTGCATGAAACCAAATTGTTCTGTGCCATAAACTCGCGCACAATGTAGCCACGTGGGTCCTCCTCTGGGCTGTGCCAGGTTGGGGATTTTGCGTTGAAGTCCCCACTGATCACCCAGAAATGATTTCTGATGTTATTGGAAATGTTCTGTAAATCTGCAATCAGGTGCTGAATATCCTCAGCTGGGGAGCAATAAACAGAGGAGAAGTAGAGTTGCTTGTTGTTGTGAGATAGAAGGGTGGTGGTCACGAAGCTTGTGCTGAAATTAGAACAGAAATTAACCTTGAGGTTTTTATTGCAGACCAGGATGCCTGCCTTAATCACCCTGCAGAAGTCTTGGTCCAGGAAGGTCCTCCACCTGCCAAAGCGCATCAAAGAGTTATTCACTAAGTAAGGCTCCTGGATGAGGACTATGTCAGCCCTGTATTCATCTGCCATTTTTTGCAGGACCGAGGAGGCCGCTTTAGACCTTTGTGTGTTGATTGTGAGAATAGTAATGTTGAAGGTAGACCTTGTGGCATAGATGTTGTCTTGATTAGAGCTTGTAGCCTGCATGAGAGTAGGAGGCTCCATACTGATGATTGTGTTGTTTTCCCCATCATGACATTGTCCATGAAGTGCAAGTCCCCTGAGACTTAAGAGCTGATTAGTACATGGTATTGGCAATGACCTGTGCTTTAAACCATTTTATGCATGGGCAGTTGGCTGCAAAGGCATTGTGGTCTGTGTCAAGTCTTGTTCTGTAGATTGCTTTTATTGTACTTGGCACAGTTGGTGCATTTTGGGTCCTTATCCTGATTTGGGCATTCCTTCAGGCGATGTTTCCTCCCACAGTGGCTGCATTTTTGTCATAAGTCGCATCTGGTGGAAATGTGACCAAATCCACAGCAATTGAAACAGCGGGTGACCGGTATATGGTCGTCCACCCTGATGGAATTCCATCCAATAGCCACCCTGCCAGCCTCAATGAGGCTGAGCCAAAGCCTGGTGGTCACCGTGAGGATAGCATGCTGCACCTCCCCTCTGTTCTTGGGGGTAAGAAATTTGTCAAAGGAGCAGGCATTTTGAAAAGCCTCTTTAGTGTAGTTCTCACAAATGTTTGAGTTCTGAAGATAGAGATGTTCCATCATGTCTCTGTATGTCATGTCTATTGGCAGGTTCAGAAGGATAACTTTTGGGTCTCTCTTTTTCTTTTCTCTCACCTCTATCTTGTCTACCAGATTAGTGTTTTGTTTTATTGCTTCCTTTAAGGCCTTTATATCCTGTTTGGATTTTACTTTTATGTTGATTTCCCCACTTGGCAGGGGTCTGATGTTTCCCACGTTTAACCCAATATCCTTGGGTGAAATGTTTTCCTGTAGTATGGCCATTAACTCTTCGGCCACCATTTTTGGTTCCTGCTGGTCTGCCGTTGCTGATATGATGAGATTACGGTCTTCATTCTGCTTTATGCCACTAGCCCCCTGATTACCCGTAGTGGCATTTATCAATCTAGTTTCCTTGCTCTTAATTCTAGTATTCTTTCTGACCATGTCTGAGTAAGATGGAGCCTTTGGTTGGATGGCGGCATTTGCCTGTTTTTGTCTCATTTCCAGGATTATGCCAAAGAGCTGGTTTGCCGCTGCATGCATCTTTATTGCAGCCTCCCTGACCAAGGCCCTTTCCCCACTTTTAACTGTTATACTACAGTTTGTAGGAATGTTTATCATTATTGTTTCCAAGTGAGAGTGGATATTAGATAGTAATTCCTCTTCCACAAAATCCATATTCGTTGAGCCAGTCCCTGATGGAGTTGGACTGCTTGGCAGGATGTCGATATTCATGTGCTTTGTACTGGCCATCGTACCAAGAGGTTAAAGAAAGACCTCACACTTCCCACACTGGAGATATCTTGACATCAAATTGAAAGAGGTGCGGATGGCTTCATGATGTCTTTTGACTTTTTCGTTTTTCATGCCGCCACCAGCTGTCACCTTGCCTCACTTCTCCCCTTGCACTTCTCTCCCTTCTCTCCCTCCTTCTCCTTGTCTCCCCCGCAACCCCTCGTAATTTATTATCTTAATGGTTCTGAAATGTAACACGCCTAAAGCCCACCTAGATGTGCTGGTGTAAAATAAATATACACCAAAAATATTTAAAACTTACTATTATATTGTCCAAAAACTTAATAACGTGACTGTTAACCCCAGAAAGTAAAATATTACATTTAAATTCGATAAAGTGCCGAAAATTATTAAAAAGCATCGTTAAAATAATCAATTCCGTTATACTATGAATTAAGTTAAATCTATTCTTACAATTATTCCTTAACCGTCAAAATAAAAGTTATAGTTGCAATGATTAATAGCCATTACGTCCATTAAAAAATTCGCTAAAGGATGTTAGAAGACCGTGAAAGTCCATTATAGCCGTCCAAAATTTAAAATTTTCCACTTAATATCTACTGTAAAACCTTAAACCCTTATAATTCGATTAATATTAAACGCTACCCCCTTTTAGGATCTTATTGCCTAAGCTAACTTTTAACTAACCCCTGGTGCCGCCCCCAGAGATTAAACCCCCGATAGAATTTTACTAAATTAAAAATTAATTAATTATTACCCAATTAGCATACTGTAACAATATATATATCAAACGAACCAGGATCCAGAGTAGATTACAATAGTATTCTGAAAGATATAATGCAATTAATACTTCCAGCACAATCACAAAAATTCCACGGAGCACAATTTAACACGTCCTCCCTCCTCGACTACGTCCATTAAAGTGATGCATTAAAAATATGCAGAAAGTTTTTGTTCAATTCAATATAACCTCTACTTTTAACCATGTCATTTGAGAAGTGTGTGTGGAAGCAACAGATTCTAAGAGGAAGGTTGTAATATCGACAATTGAGATAAAAAAAGAACGTACTATAAGGTACCTGTGTAATAACTGGCAGTTACATTTAAGATGCCAAAGTTCATGATGTGTGACCAGTAAATGCAATTTTTATTTTATTATAGAGTATTTACATATTTTAGTTGTTGATTTCATATTCTAATTTATTATTAGGGCATTTAATTTGTTATTTTTATCCTAAATTGTGTATATTTCTTGTTTTCAGTTTATCAAAATGGGTATTGTTTAAGCTCTGGGAGTAGATTAATTCACTTTCCATTATTTCTAATAGGAAAAAATTGATTTGGACTTCAAACAGTTGTGAGTTTGAACGGCCTCCTGGAATGAATTAAATTTGAAGTACGTGGCACCGTTATCTATACATTCTTTTGGGATATGCATATCATTAAAAAATGGAATTTGTCTTAGTAGCAAGTTTGAGTAATTTGGTCTGTTATCAAAGAATGTGATTTTAGATTTATTGAAGGCCAAAAATTTTTCTGTCAAGATTTTTCTTTCTTCATACAGAAATATAATTTAAACATGGCATTGTGGGTATTATGCATTTCTTCACACTTTCAGATGTTTGTATAGTGTATGAATTATTCTGTTTTCTACAAACAAAGATTTGTTAATTTGTTAATAATGTATTTGTATGTATGTTATTTTGAAAATAAATATAATAATTTAGAAAGATACCATTTAGTTATTTCATTGAAAATAACTAAATTTTCTACATTTATTTTCTATAAATTTTTAAAAATTTATAGAAAATAATGAAATAACTAAATGGTATTATATAAATTTTAAAAAATTTTATATAATGAATACATAAGGTATTATTTTTTTGAATATCTGTGTTATTTTTGTAGCAGAAAGTAAAAAAGTAAATAAGGTCTGTAAAGAAATTATACACACACTAGAAATTTGTGTATAACTTCACACAATGTTTATTTATACCAAGTTAACAATTAACAAGCTCATTATTATAAATAATTACTCACAAATAAATCATATTCATACAAAAAAATATTCTAATATTTGATGAATTAATATAAAAATTGCAACCAAATTTGCAGTAAAATACATGCAGCAGCAAATTTGCCTTTTTACATAAAGTTTTAATAATTAATATAATTTCTTTTGTTTTGAATTAGCTTGTAAATTTTATTAGGTATTGCTCTGACAAGTTTTGCAGTTATGTAAGTTTATTTTATTATAAATTATAAAAACAATTATAAATTGCAACTGTCAGTTCATCGGTGGTTGTGTATTATTTGTTGTTAGCATAGATGATTTGAGAAAGCATTGCCCACAGATTTTCCATAAAATTTAAGTCTGGACTACATGTCTGTCACATCTATTTTTTTTTCTTGTTTAAACCAATTTTTGGTGGATCAAATGCATGACAGGAGTGGTCCAAATGGAATGCTTGTATATGTTATTTAAACATCCAAATGGATGTTTAAATAACATATTTTGGTATTTTCTGAATTCATTCTATCATTAATTATGATAATATCTGCTTTGCCATTAAAAGCAAATGCTGACCAAACCATGACTACACCTCCCATCTGTCTGGTGAAATATTTCTTTGATTGTTTTCTTAAATCATGATATTACTACCTAATACCATCTGGACCATTCAGATTAAACTTTGTTTATCTGAAATCATTATATTTTTACATTTCTCAATCCAACTCATTACTGGTTTTATCCATTCTGGTCTGTTTTGTTTGAGGTCATTTGTAAGCTTTGGTTTTTCCTTGAGTTTAACTTAGGAAACTTATCATTATTTTTCAAGACATTAGCTATTGTTGCATCCGACACTTTCAGTGACAAACTAGCAGCAGTGGCATGTGTGGACATTCCTTTGAGATGGCAAGGTGGAAAACTCTTCTTTTCCTTCTCTCACTTAGAACTTGTTTTTGACCAGATCACTTATTTATCTGGGAGAAAAATCACACTTAACCAACATTAATTAAAAACATGTATTTATTAAAAATTGTGAATACTTTTGAAGACATACAACCTTTGTCAGATAAAAATCAAACACAAATTTTACACTTAAGAATAGAACATAAATGCAATGTTCCCACAAGTAAGTATTGATTTTCTAAGATTGATGTGGTACCTTTGTGTCTGTCTGTACCATATTTTGATGTGTTAATGCTTGCAAATGCATTATTCCTTAGGACTGGTCATTCCATACCCTAGATATTGGATTTGAGAGAAGTACTTTTTCATATAACAGAGGATAATTACTTTCAATTTAACAGTACCATTTACAAGCAGAAGCATGGTGTACCTATGAGTTCTCCCGTATCTGTTGCTCTTGTGAAACTTATCATGAGGAATGGTTGAGTTTAGTTTTAGGTTTTCCATTGGCTATTCACTATCCACTCTTATATCTGTTATGTAGATGATATTCTGCTTCCCTGGGATGTTTCTGAGGAAGAATTGTACATCTTTGTAGATATGTTATCTTCTGTCTATACAACAATTAATTTTTCTGTTGAACAAGATGAGGGGATATTTTTTTTAGACTTGCTCATGCACAGAGTACCTGTTGGGTTGTTTTTTGTCCACTACAAGGCTGGTATATTACAACATATTGTCCCTGCTACTCCCTTCCAGCCTTGTGCTTTGTAAATTTTTGCTATTTTGGCTCTCATACAAAGAGCATTCTTAGTTCTGTCCACCCAATTATATGTAAACAAAGAGATGAATTATATCAGATGCAGTATGTAGGGCAGGATATTCCCCAAAATTAAGTATCTCCTTAACTGCATCAGGAAATCAATATATTCTCAGATATTATTTTCTGATAAACAAGATTGCCACATTGCCCATATACCAATTATGTGTAAAGATAAAATGCCTACATAAGGGGACTTTATCTTTATACATAGCTTGTATCTTTAGTACTTATGGCTTTCTTTTACCAATTATTCTCTAGACTATCTTACATAGGTTGTTATGTAATGATAGGGACAGTGTTGCTGTATATGAAAAATTGGGGTTTACACAATTCCATTATGGCATTTGTTATCAGGAACAACATTAATGTACCGTATGTTGGAGCCACATTTAGAATGTTGCAAATTCGGTTAGCAGAACATCAAGAGAATACTGCCAATAATGAAATCACAACTGAGTTTTCAAAAAGAGTAGTGGAACATGTTTATGTACCCCTTTGGGCTAATGCTAGATTATCGAGGCAGTGCTATGATAAAAGAACATTATTCTTATGGGAAAATCTTTATATCATGTCATTTTCACCCTGCAATACTTCTACTATAGCTGTTCTGTGTTTATGGATAAATTATTTAAACAATTCACATTGTATATGCTCTAAAGATCTTTTTATACTTGGGGATATATATTGCTGTTGATAATTTCTCATGCATCTTATTTTATTAAACTGTTCAAATTTTTATTGAATATTTGATATTCCAATCTTGTGACTGTATTTAATTTACGTTCTATTCTTAAGTTTAAAATTTGTGTTTGGTTTTGTTTGATGAAGGCTGTATGTCTCTGAAAGTACTTACAATTTTTAATAAACACATGTTTTTAATGTCAATTAAGTATGATTTTTCTCCCATATAACAATCCCGGCATAAAGTGAAAATTGTTTTTGTCAACCATCAGCATTTATTTATCCCGTATTGGTCTCCTTTTTTAATAACATTTTGAATTGCCTCAATAGATCTTTTCAAAGTGTTGCAATCTGTCTCTGTAAGATTTTCCTTGTCCATGATACAAAAAGATTTTTCTGAATCCTCTTTTGCTCAATTCTTTTCCTTGTGGCATTTTGTAAAAACTTAAGTCAGAATGATACAATTATTATGGGGAGGGGTAAATGATGATGTACAATTAAAATTGCTTATTGTATTTATGTAGTACATTCAATTATATGATGTGTATTTATACATACACACACTGTATGTATAATTATTTTACAGCAGATTTAGTTGTAATTTTTATATCAATTTATCACTCAGAAATTTGAATATTTTTATTTGTGAATAATTATTTATAATAATGAGCTTGTTAATTGTTAAATTGATATAAATAAACATTATGTGAAGTTATACACAAATTTCTAGTGTGTGTGTAATTTCTTTACAGACCTTATACTTTGATTATAAATTTCCAATAAAGTAATTTGAATTATTAAAGTTTCAAATAATTTACATTCGGATTTAATTTTATTTCTAGATTCAGGCTGCTAATGGAGATGTAACAATAACAAATGATGGAGCAACAATTTTAAAACAAATGCAAGTATTGCATCCTGCTGCTAAAATGGTAAGTTTAGTAAATCATATTTAAGTAGAATGGATTTTTTTCTATATGATTGGTTTATTATAGGGTCAAATCCCTTTATGATAGTTTTCTTGTAACTTAACATTTATTGTAGTTTATCATGTTTTATTTAAATTCATCCCTTAATTTGTTATGAAATTGTCCTACATTACTATATATTTTTAACACAAGTTAAATTTTATCTCAATTTTGTCATTTTTTTATAAAACAAATAAAAGGAAAATCTTGTAGGAAAGTTTCAAGGATACAATTTATGTTGTTTATTTATTAATAAAAACTCAGTAAAGCCTTACACATGACCCAATGTTAAATATAACCGCTAGTTTAAACAATAACTGAAAATATCTTTTTAAAATCAAAAAGAAAACAAAATTACAATTAACTCTACATAAATTGTTTGCACATTCATTTAAACATGTTATAAGGAATATGTAACAAATGCTCAATCTTTAATGTATTCATATTAGCATGGTACAATTAACAGCATTGAATTACATTTAATCAGTAGTTATAAATAAATAAACAAAGGTCTTGCTGAATAATTCTTACAAATATATCAATGTCACTTGGTATTATAAAACCATTAATTTCTTAGATAAAACATAAATTCTAACAAAGTACTGAATTTGACTAAAGAAATTTGGAAGCCTCAAGTGAAACTGCATATTAGGTGCTGATTCAGGGTATGGTAATTGACTTGGATACCTTTTTAATTTGTAAACTATTTAATACATTAGCCCATTTTTTAAGTGATGATGGAGAACCCAAGACCTAAATGTGAAGACTAATCTATTAATGGTTGAAAATTAGTAAAAAATGTGGACATTAATGTGAATTTTGATGTCTCCATAACATTCCTTCTTATTGCCAAAACCTCAGCCACTTTATTGATATGATTGTTGAAAGGTAGTTTCTGATCAAAAAGAATTTTTAAGTTTATTATTACCTGCACATACTACATTAAAAAATCATCAACATTTGGAGGGAAAATAAGTTGTAATGTGTTTTCTCTATTAAAGAATACAACAGACTTGACAAGTTAATTTGTAAATTTAATGTTTCCAAGGATTTAGTAAGACAGTCAAAAATGATCAAAACATTTTGAAGAGAATTAGAGTCACTGTTATCTTAACATCATCAACACATGCACATACAGTATATGTGAAGCATAATGTGCAAAACAAGGATTGACATAAGAAATTAATAAAAGGCTGCTGGACACAGAACCCTGGGAAATACTGCATACATGAAAAATTCAGAGAAGGTAAACTCACCAAAGTTTAATTGTACATTTCCTCAAAAGAAAAAGTTACTAAACTGGACCAAGGGTCCTTGATCAAGATCATATGAATCAGAAAGGAGATGCAAAAGCTGAGAAGGGGTGATACAGTTGAATGCAAGAGTGACATCTAAATATGCAACATAGGAAGGAAGGTTTTTTTCTCTTGAAGTTTTGAAGAATTTCTTTCTGTGTAAAAAGATTGGTTACAGTTGATTTACCTTTAATATTTCAGTGTTGGGAATTGCTAATATTACAGACATTTGGTCCATAAAGATAATCAAAAATTTTTAGCATTACTGGCTGTAGGGAGATTGGCTGAAAAGCATCTTTTTCTTTTTTGGAAAGGCTATAATTACAGATATTTACCATTGATCTGGATACGAGTATCAAATCAACTCTAAAAAACAACAATAAAACTATTACAGTAATAGATGGCAAATTCTTAAAAAAAAAAAAAAAGCAGACACAGTATCAGGACTCTGAAATGACCTATGTACATTTAAAAGAATTTTATGTAAATGAGAAATGGAAAAAATTTAAATGAGAATTATTGAATAAATCAGCAGAGGTAATATTTACAGGTGTGTAAGTTGCCTATGCAGAAATTTTGAAAAGCAAGATTTAAGCTTGTCGTAAATATTAAAAATGGAATTGTTGTCTATATTTATAGTTTAGAAAAGAAAAATGAGGGCAAAAACTCCAAAAAAAAATTTTGAGATTTCACATTTTGTATAAATCTCTTTTAAATAATCTGGTGGGTGGGGATATAAATCATGAGGGTTGCTTGATTGAGATCATTGATTCAACTGATATCTCTTATTCCAAAGTCATTTGAGAAAACCAACACTGGAAAGGAAGATCAATCTTTTTGTAAGGAAGAAAAAACCGATGTAAGCACTAAATCTTTCATATACTAATGAAATTTTTTGAGATATAAGATAATCTTCATTTATAAAATGATCAATCAACAAACACATGAAATGGTTAATCCTATGCCAGTTGACCTATTCAACATAGGGATAGAAATTATTTTTTAGATCTTTACATAGAAGTCAGTGATGGCAGAGTGGTCAGAATTAAATCCATGAGCCAGGAAAGTGAAAATAGTACTATTTCTTGTAAACATCAAATCTAAAAATGAGCTTTTCCTTGTAGGGAAAGATACTTCCAGTGAAAAACCAAAAAGGATATACAATTTTTTTTTATATGAAATTTTTTATGTCTTAATACAAATTAAACAGATAGATGATTAAACAATATAATATTAGACAAATTAAAATTTCCACATATGATAATTTTAAACTTTAAAATGATTATAATTTATTAAAAATCATGAATCTATTTAAATGGAGAATTTTGTGTAATAAACAAAATATTAAAAAATGATAATTCAATGACCATAATGGAATCAAGAAAATATGAATGAAATGTTGACTTAATATGTGGGTGTGAAATACCAGAAATTAATTCAGGGAAGCACACACAAAGTAGAAACATTAAGATTCCAGAAAATTCATGCATAAATGCATAACAATCAACTTAATAATTTTTCAATTTATGTCTAATGTCTAAAATAATTTATTGATCTAAATAAGGTAAAGTTAAATAAAATTTGTAACAGAGGCATATGTGTACAGTATTATATGAAATATTTTTTTTTTCATTGCTGTAAGTAAAGACTAATTAATGCAGTTTTTAAACCTCATGTGAACTTACATAGTGTGAGTTAATTTTAATTTTACACATGTACTAAGACAGTATTTTTTTTGCATTAAAAGATCATACTACTACAACATCACTCAAAATTAGATTGGATAAATCATGATCTCATATTGTACATACCGTGTTTCCCCGAAAATAAGACAGTGTCTTATATTAATTTTTGCTCTGAAAAGTGCGCTAGGCCTTATTTTCAGGGGGAGGTCTTATTTTTTCCAGGAGGAAGAATTCACATTTATTATTGAACAAAAAAATTCCCAAGTCGAACTTAGACGAGAGTGACGTATATCCGATGTGTCGAACTGTCGCCTTTTTATA